CATAAAAGTCAATGACCAACAGATGAACGTAACTTCTCCTTTACATAAACTAAGACTGGGGGCTAATCGTCCAGGGACTGGGGGCTAATTGTCCAAAGACTGGGGGCTAATCGTCCAGAGACTGGGGGCTAATCGTCTGGGGCTAATTGTCCAGGGGGCGAGTTGTCTGACATTCCACCAGAACAGATGGGTTCTCAAGGCAACCCACCCAGTCTTAACTTTGTTTATTTACTTTTAGATATGTAAACAAGTTATACTTGGTTTTACTTCCAATTGGTCAAGAAATTGGCATTAATGTCTAACAATGGAAAGCCAATATGATGATAATTAGTTATTATTACAGAAAACTATACCATAAAATTTGACACTGAGTTACTGAAAACAACTCGTACTTCATAATATGGGATTAACACAAACATGCTGGTACACATTTTGCAATTTATTTTCCAATTGTATACCTGGCCATCCATCCAACATTGTGGCCTTTCTGTGCTGCTGGAACTGTTTTTGTGATAAATTTTTTTTGTTTTTAATTTAATGTGGTGTGACTTTCCCTAATCCCACTGCTAACTGTGGAAGAGGGCAGACTAATACAGAGGGTTTCCACCAGCAGCCTACATGCAGTTTTCTTTTTGTTTGACATAAATAGCATAACAATAACATAATTCTTCATAAATAGCTCCTTAGATAACTGAAAGAATATTGCCAATTTCAGCAGTTCGTAACATTTGGGTATTACACATAATCTGTAAAAATCATGTTCTTTGTTTCACTCTGCCTGTCTCATATAAAACCAAACTTCAGAAGTTAGGTTCTGGGACCCAGAGCCACCATCTTGGATTACATATTAACATTATTTGATTTGAGACCACAATGAAGAAAGCCTTTGGAGTGAATGTGAGCGAGAGCATCTGTGATATCATGACAAATGATCAGCCAGTCTTTGCTTGTCAGTGAACTGTTAACTTTCTCTAATATGCCATTGGATTCTTTGCAATACAATAGTTTATTGACTGTTGCGGATGTATTTTCTTCCCCTTTGAACTCCATCACTAGAGATATAGGCTCTCTTTCAAGCTGGATTCCTATTATTGCAGGAATGTTTTTGTGTGTGAGAGTCTACATGATTTGTGCCTCCTTTACCATCTCTTTAGTGCTTTGCATCAGACATTGTTTTTCTACCACAAGAACGTTTAATCTTTTGAAAGATTTTAAAATGCACCAGCCATATGAACCCTGTCCTAATATTAATTCCTTTTCACTGATTGGTTGAAGCTCAGATGGATCAATTAAATTAACAGTGGCAAATTTGCTACTGGGTGGTCCTGATTTTGTATTCCTGTCTCTAATCTGGAATAAAGTAATAAACAGAGGAAAAGTGAAGCTGGTCAGCTTAATAAGATTCACATGCTAGATTGTGTAATAAGTGGTAATAGGACTGAGTAGTCTTTGGTCTGTAATCATATGAGTGATAACAAAATCAGACGACTGCATAGTGGAGGTACAATTTGTTTATCACAAGTGTGATTACAGACCGAAACGAATGACACAAAGTCCTTTTACCAATTAATCATAAAAATTACAATTTCCAAATTAAAAAGAACACTTAAATATTGTCATTGCTCAAGGGAAACCAATTCTCTGTTTTAAAGAAAGCCCCAATTTAGGAATCTGTACACTGTTTCTATGGTGATTGAAACCAAGGTTGTGATTGATTGATTTAAACCACAACTTTGAATGTGATTGGTTGACTTAAACTACAACTTTGAATGTATTTGGCTTATTGAACTGTCCAACAACAACTTGGCAAGTGAATTAGTGGAAAATAGGAGTTTTTAAAACTAATCACAATCGAGGAAATTGTAATTCCTATGTTAATAGATTTATTGATAAACTTTATCCCTTTCATATAATACAAACAGAACTTTCCAAGATTCCCTGACTATTAAGGTACTGACCTATCCATGATAAAAATAAAATTTCCCTGATGAAATGGATACAAAATGTCCAGTCTCCTCTTCTTCATTAAGACATTGCTGAGATCATCTGAAATATTTCTTCCAGCATGGTATGAAACTCAGTGGTGTAAAAACTTTAATTTCCCTGACTTTTCCCTGACCTTGAAATTTCTATCCCTGGCCATTTTTTGATCTGTGGTAACCTTGGTAGGGCAAGATCAACACTACATGGCAAGATGGAAGGGAAAATGCTCAAAGCTCAATGACTGTCCTTTTCAGACGAAAGTTTAGCCTGTCTGCTTGGCAAACAGAAATGAATGAATTCCCGCTAAATCATTTCAGAATGAGGCAATTTCAAATGGGGATTCCTTGCCTTATTTTACGAAAATGATTGTAGTTTTTTTTTCATTTCATCATAAAAAGGAGAAGAATTTTGAGGGCTACACTCTCCCCTCCCCCTATGAGTTTATGTTGAAGTCAACCCCAGGACGTTTTGTACAATGCAAGACAATGCTAGTTTGATTACGTTCAGCGTCAGTTCGGTGATATCGTTTTTTGTAACCAACTGCTCATTTTCTGATATCTATTTTATTCTATTTTGACGCTAACCGAGTACCTACCTTGGTTTTGTCCAGGGTCTTTTTATTCTGTTCGACTAATGCTTTCCATTTGCTATAATACATTCGCGCCAAGAATATGCATCTCTTTCCTTTTGTGTTCTCATTTCTCTGTTCTCCTTTTCCCTAGCTGTCCTTGACAATCGTTCACGTTTCCTCCTTTGATTTCGCATGCTGCGTTTTTTTTTTCGATTGTACTTTCCCGAGATCGTCGTGGCATGATTACTTTGCCAAGCACGCGCCAAGCGCGCGCTTTTTGTTGGCGATCGTCTTCGGTACTCGATTCCCTGTGGCTGAGTTTGTGCCCGCGTTTCCATACTGATATAATGTTGTAGAAAATTCTAGTGGACAGCGGCCTATCTCAACGCGATAAAACGATAAAAATTAACCGGAAAGCTTTGTTCGCAGTGAATGTACAACTACGAAGAATTAATGTGGATGAAACAGGGTACAAGGTTTATGCAACGACTACCTAAAATTTATTCCTCAGGAAGCCGTAGTCTTAGAAAATAGCCAAGTTGATCACGTTTTATTTTAGTAGTGCGCACAAACAATTAACAAAATAGATATTTCTTCGTCGGACCGGCAAGGTTTTCATGATATGAGCTTTTTTAATTGGGCGGAAACTTGTGAAAGAAGGCGCGGTTAGAACAGGGCAAAATTAAACAAGAGCAAACAAGATATCTTTGAAATACCGGCTGTATTTATTTCTCAGTGACGCCGCACGTGGGTAAATTGTTGAATTTTGGGAGATTTATTTGCATAGAAGAGGAATCGGTATCTTTCCGTTTCCAACAATTCATTAGCATATGTGTAAGATTGTGATCTATTGAGGGCAGTGAAATCTCCAATGCTGTAAGATAACGTGGGTCTTTCCTCCGGAACTTACAAAACATGCCTGATTACGAAGAATATTTTTAGCCAAGAACAAAGGACTTTTAAAAGCATTTGGGAGCAAACTCGTGTTAGTCGTCGCAAACTTGTCGGGGAGGGGGTAAACTTGCGATGTGGGAGCCTAGGAACTGGTCATCATCTTCCAAGGTAAACGGAAGGGCTCCTAGATGATCTTGCTAGTAATCTACTTACAGGTCTTCTACGCGTCTGTCCTCCAGTAGATCATAGGCAATAACCATTCAGAATGCGTGTATAATTCATCTTCTCATAAAAAGAACATCCTCATCTTTTATAAAACCAGATATTTTCAAGTTCAAAAATAACTTTAAATAAGGCTAAACCTTGACAAGGAGACAAAGATTGATGAGTTTAACGCATTCTACAAGGTTTACTATTACAAATTATGAAGATCAACACGAAAAACAAATTTAAGCCCATTTATTCCAAGAAATATAAGGTAAGAGAGAAAACCAATCTGGAACCTTTAATTCCCATGGGTGACCAAAAAATAATTTCTCCTCACTATCTCAATACAATTTATTCAAAAGTGTACAGTCGCCCTTTCTTTTTCCTCTCTAATTGAAACGCATCAGACTGTGACAGAAACGCCGAGGTCAATTTCGGGGATGAAAAAAGAAAAAAAAAAAAAAAGGTGTCAGAGTTCTGCGGCTGATTTTTTTTTCGACTGGTATAACGGACTTCGCCAACTATAGTCTACGTAAATACCCCCTATATGATCTTATGCGCCGATCAATTTGAAATGTCCCGGGTCCATTGCAGTTCAAACTTGAGGATCATTTTGTTCACCGGGATCACATACGTATTAGTTGCACAGATGTAAAGTTCTCTCCTCGCGTGTGACTCGCCCTTCGTGCCCGCCTCGCGCTTACATTCGAAAGAAATATTAATCTAAGTATAAGATAAACAAATATCTTCTGCCGCTATCTTCATTCGAGACTAGAGGAATTTTAAGAAAGGCACAGGGATTCACAAAAATTTAGATTGCTCTAAGCTGAATAAATGTTCTCGAACAACTACTGAGGAGATGAAAATCTTCTTTGTTTTCCTTCGTCCAGCCTCTCAGTATCTTCTTCTTGCTAATCTTTATCCTTTACTTCCTTCAAACGCAGTACTAAATCTCTCATTTCTGACAACATCCTCCTTTGCTTGTCAAGTTGATCCTGAAATCACGTCGCAGATCTCCAATTTCCTTCTGAACGTCTTCATTTGTTACTCTACTAAAATAGTCTCTGTCGGGATGGCACATCTAAAACGTGCAAAAATCAATCGTCTCAAATTTAAAAATGAAAAAGACAAAAATTTAGGACAGCAATGATCAAAGTTGTCAACTAGAGACTTTAAATTCCACAATTGTGGAATACAGATTTGCTTGAAATAAAATTAGATGAGATCGACGCGCTCTTTGCCTGTTCTTGCCTTAAAAGCAATCAGGGCACAGCCTTTTGGTAAAAAGGTCGGATAGTTTGTAAATGTTCGCAAACATTAAAATTACACAAACTTGAACATACCTTGGTGAGCACTGTAATGCCTTCAAATCCCAATGAAACGAAAGGAAATAGTTTATTTCCCTCGGTATACTGCACTGAAGAACGCGTATTTCTATACCATTCAAGAAGAACAACACAGAGACTTTTCCTTCGGGAACTCCCCTAAAATCAACTTCACAGGCGATGAGATCGCCGCGGTAAGCCATGGCTCCTAAGTTATCAATTACATAGAGAAAAGATAACAAAATAAGCCAAACTTGAGGCAACCAACCGTGTTACACACGGGTGTGAAATTTTATTTTTTTCCCTTGTTGTTCGGTCTTGATTAATGACCTGCCTCTTCGTTCATTCGAAAAAAAGTTCAATCTCCCTTACTGTATTTATACAAGGAATGTTGACGATATAAATGATCCTAGCAGCGTCAAGCATTTGCTGATATGAATCTGTAGACCATTTGATCGGCAAGCAGAAGGTGAGGGTTAGAACCTCCCCCACGATCGAAGGATTCAGGGTTTTTTCAGTTTCACACTCCAGGCACATGGATTTTAAAGCAACTTCGTTCAACATTCTATCTTGGTCACACAACTACAATACATTTCCCATTTACCTCATGCATGTCAGAATAATCATCTCTCGGAGTCTATGACAATTTTAAAGTGATCTCTATAACGTTTACAAACTAAAATTTCTGAATCTTTTTCTTTTGGAAAACAGAAACCAACTGTCGCAAGGTCGCCCTTAGAAGGACGGTAAGACTTTGATTATGTTTCCACGCGCTAACAAATTCTTGTGGCAAATATCGTAAACCTACCGTCAAAGTAACCCATACCTTCGACTTCTCTTCCCTGCTTATGGAAGCCAGTTTCAAATATTTTGCCCTCGTCTATGTGGTAACCGACTGTTCCACTATCCCAGCCAGGCATTTTATGACAGTCGTACGACTCATGCACAGCACCCAGAGCAGCAATACGCCTTTCCCCAGTCTCCTGAATAAGTACCTGCAAAACAATGACGGACTTTCGTTTTTTAGACTCTGTTGTTACGGTTGCCGTAAGTTCCATGCTTTTAATTTTTGTTTCAGTATGCAAATGAGTTTTTTTGCTCATGAGACCGAGGGAATACTAGTTACTTTGACCAAAATAAATAATAACGATGATAAAGACGGTGTTAGCCACAATATAAACAATCAACATCCGAAACAACAAAAGCAGCTATGATAACAACTGCAGTAATGATGATGATTACAAAGCAATAGCACTAATATAAATAATAATAATAGTAATAATAATAGTAATATAAATGTAAACGTTTAATCCAAAAAGGAATTTCGGCTGAATGATAGCACCATCGCACTATTCAAAGGTGGCCATCAAAGTTCGAATAACTTGACTTAATCTTTCATACCCTAACATAATTATGAATATTTTCCATGCTGTTCACTATACAATTGTGCCGACAAGGAAGAATTATTTAAACAATGAAGAGCTTTTTCAGTTGGTGATCATTTACGATATCCTTGTGACCCTAATGTTTGACTCAGGGATGAGTCTAATGTGTGGAGAAATTACATGTCAGTCACTCTTAGGTGTTGCAGGATTAAGAACAAGTCTCTGTAAGAATCAAACATCTTAGGAAATGAAAATTTTCAACCCCCCTTCAAATTTTGCATGCAGTTAGGCACTCAGGGGGATGCACAAAAATGCCCTTTTTAAAGGTCGCAGCACTCTTGTTGCCATGGTAACAACGGCTGTTTGTTCGAGGCCTGGGGCCTCATTTTCTTACAAAAACGTCGCAAAAAAAGAGTGAAATGTTTATCTCTCTCTCTGAAGCTAAATACAACATTATAAATTGGCACTTCTACTATACATAGTAACATCATTCGTCTTCACGTTGAGTTATTCAATTTTCCCTGGGAGTGAATGTGAACACACCAGTAGATTATTCATCTCGGTACAGTTTCGGTCAATTTTGTTGTCGGGTAAAACAGGGAAAACGTTTATCTGAATTTCTCCAAAAGTACCCAGATTCTGGAACTGAAACTGCCCACCTAGCTGGTTATAATAATCTAGTTTATAAATATGTAAAAATCTCTGCGGGCCTGCCTCTTCTTTTTATAGGGACAATTCGCGAACATTCATAACGTAAAGAAAATATCGGGACCTAAGAGATCCATTAAGATCACTGATCACTTTACTTGTACCTCCGCCTATGTTATTTACTGCATAATTTGCACTTATTGCAATAAGTTATACATCGGCGAAACAGGAAGACGACCAGGTGACCGATTCCGAGAACAGCTTCGCGACGTGGAAAGAAATGACAAGGACGCAGCCAAACCAGTCACTAGACGCTTTAATCTTCCTAATCATTCTAAACAACATACGGCAGTTTGCGGCCTTTCCTTACTTCTAGGCAGTTCGGAAAGCCGTAAAACACTAGAACAAAAATTCATCTTCCAAATCGGCACCCTTAACCCCACGGAATCAACGAGCGCTTTTCATTCAACAAATTTATTCCTGTTTTCTCGTCAACATATTCCCACCAATGGCGTAGCTCCACTTTCTGCATATAAAACCACACACAACCCACAATTCCACCAATCACTCTGACGAAGGGCTAACACTCGAAACGTCAGCTTTTTTACCCTTAACGGTGGTTAATTTACGTTTTCAACTCAGTTGTTAACACTAAATTACCTGCTATAGTAAGTAAATGACACTTTCCAGCCAAAAAATTAAAGGCTTCCATGCAGGAAGTTGCGTGGCACAAGTTTCAAACTTCTGTAAACGCAGTAAGACTTCCGGGTGAAAAAAAGATTATATGGCACAGGAAAATGATAATTTTACTTGTATGTTGTCTTGTTTATTCCTATTGTAGTCACAACACTCTTAAGATTTCCTCTGTGTTCCTCTAGGATCAACGATAGTCGTTTTAGTGACATTGAAAAAAAAAATATACATTCTGCTTGGGTTGAAGAAGAAGCAAGAGTTGTTCTCCGCCTCGAGCAACTATTATGCATCTTTCGTGCCCGCCAAACTTCCCGCGTGCTTCATATCTCGATGAACGCACAGCTGAAGTATGAACCAATTGTTTTATAACATTTTCAACCCGATGGAAAATATTTTTCTCGAGGCATTTGTTTGTTGACATCATGAGCGTGCACAATAGGAATATGAAGCACGCTCGCGGAATTTAATTCGATTAGACAAATTTACTAGCTATGTTATAAAACAAGTTGACCGCCTTTGTCGATCGCAAACCTGTCTTGATCGCATGAGCTAAACACACGGTTGACTAAAAACGTGATGGCGCTTCCACAAACTGTGGGCTTAAAAGCTGAAGCAGTCGGTGAAGGAGTTTGGTGTGTGTGCACTGTTGAAGAAGTAGACGATGATTACGTGATCGTTTCCTTTGACGGCTGGAATGCGGAGTGGAATTGCCGCGTCTGTGATCCACAAGAGGTCAGGGATAGAATATTGCCTGATTGGAAAAGAAAGCGAAGAAACTTTTCCCTTCAGTGAACAATGTTGTCGCTTTTAGAAGACCGACTTTTACTTTTAAACATCACCCAAACTGAAGTAAACAAAAGCTCAAATTACGGTTCGCTTCAATTTCAGGCGTAAATTTGCATAATCTTTCATGGACGAAATCTTTATGAATTTCAAAGATCAAAACCATTTTCTAAACTACATCTGCCTTATCTTTATCCACTAAGCAAACAAAGCTTTCCAAATTGCAATCAAAACACCAGACGTAGTTCACTTCGAATTTCTCGATCTATCCTAGTTTCTCAGACCGCACCCCAAACAGGTTTTAACAGTGGCCCACAGGGGACAGCTGCAAACAAATGCATATAGGTGCAAACAAATATATGTGGATGTAAACAAATATATATTGATGCAAAAATAATAAAACATTACGTAAAATTAACAAATGTTGCTGCAAATTAGTAAAAGCTCCGACAAATAAAAGCAAAAAAAAAAAAAAAACAAAACCGTGGTCTCCAAATGAATTCTCCCGCCTTACCCCAAAAAGTTTTCAAATTTTTCGCAACTTCACCTATTCGTATTCGTAGGTTCGGCCAAGCCTTTATGGTCACTGGCCCGCTTATAGCCGCTAACTATGGCTTATAAATACAGGTGTTTAGTGTTAAATTGTAAAAACCTCGAAGAAGTCTACGACAGTTAGACGAAACGCGTCGGAGAATAAGGAGTACTGCTCACCAATTTAGTTTTAAAGATTTTTTTAAAAAATTTGGTGCGGTAGCTGTGGTCAGTTTTTCCATGCAAGTTGTCCGTATATACCTTTCGCAGAGACGTGGGGACAGAGACACCAACACAACATTTCACCTGCCGTTCGGTTCGAAAGTTAAGTTTTCATCCCGAGTTCATTTGTTAAATTAAATAGGAAAAAAGCACTTCGAACGGAAGACAGAATTATTTTAACGTCTGGATCTTTTGAAAAAAGGTCTTCTAAACGAGTGGCCCTAATTATAAATATTTAAGCATGGCAAACACATCAGCCTTAACTTTGCTGTTTCTCGAAGCTCAGTGTTTTCCTATATGCCTTTTTCACGTGAAATGAGGCACTTGAATATGTATAATAAACACTAAAAGAGTGAGTGGCTCCGCGTGGCTCCGCGTGGCTCAGAAGGGCTCAGAGTGGCTCAGAGTGGCTCAGAGTGGTTCAGAGTGGCTCAGAGTGGCTCAGAGTGGCTCAGAGTGGCTCAGAATGGCTCAGAATGGCTCAAAATGGTGGGTATAGCGATGCTGAGATGACCAACCTAAGGGGAGATGTTTTGTACCCATTGCGCTGCCGAGGTTCTTTCCAGCACCGCCAACTTCTGTTATTCCTATGAAGACTTTAGAAAGCGGAAAGCAGAGGAACGTGGTTCGAAGTTTTGTGAGAAGGCTAAGGGAAATGCCCCGAGCTCCAAAAATACTGAAGCAAGTGAAGTTATAATACAGACTGGGGAGATGATCTGGAAAGATGGAGAGCCAGCGACAAGGAGAGGAAGCAGTTTACCTTTGAAAGTACTTTCCAACGCGACTTCTGAGGTACTAAAAGCTAAAGCAGTGGCGAAGCAAAATCGCTTCAATTCCAGTTTAATCAAGAGCGACAAAGCGTTAGGATACAAGCTCCTCTATCCCGACAAGTCAGAAGTACTAAGAGATTTCATGGCAAAAGGATCTCGAGTTTACTCTTGGGAAATAAAAAGAAGAACTCGGGAAACCATACTCCCGAGTAAGTTTTTATCTCTGCAGTAACATTGACTACCTGAGTTACGTTGCGGATGGCGTTGATTCCTCAGATCAGTCTGAAGGTCAGTCAGTTGAAGAATCTGATGATAGTGTTGGACAAAGGTCTTCAAAAAGTGCCCTGACTTTAGCTCCAAGCAAGGTATATACTGTAATCAGAGAATATTTGCTCTTGATCAATTTCTATCAGTATATTTGCTTTGGTTCAGTAGCTATGCATTGTTAATTCTTTTTCTATCTTTTAACCCGCTTGCCTGACTGCCTTATTTAATGACTTTATTATCTATATAGCGCAAAATTCATGGGTATATGATCTAATGCGCTTATTTTATTCCCAGTAATATTCTGAATGAATCTTGCCCTTACCTTTTTCATTTGATGTTAATCATTTGCTCAGCTGGCTTTGTTTGTTTGCTTGTGTGATTTTTGGTATACCACTACAATTTTATAGTGTATGTGCTGAAGTGTAATGCAAATGAATTCATTGCTAGTTACCTCAGGTTGATGTCTCAAGTTACTTCCCTTATCCAAGTGAAAGTACAAGTACAATTACCAGAATTACCAGTACAACCACAACTACAAGCACAAGTGATGCACAAGACGTACAAGAATGCGATATTATTTGTGTTGAAGATGGTCAGGTAATCAACAGTTAATAATGCAATGTCTTGTAATTATAGATTTCCTATATTTTGCATGACAAGCTCAATCACTGGAGTAGTAAACGTTAAGATCTATTTCTCAGT